GGGGAATGGGGGTGATGGGGGGAATGGGGGAAATGGGGGAATGGAGGCAATGGGGGTGATGGGTAATGGGGGCAATGGGGTAATGGAAGTGATGGGGGCAATGAGGGTAATGTTGGCAATGGGGGCAATGGGGGTAATGAGTGGAATGGGGGTAATGGGGGTAATGGGTGGAATGGGGGTAATGGGTGTGATGGGAGTGATGGGGGAATGGGGGGAATGGGGTAATGTGGCCAATGGAGATAATGCAGGCAATGGGGGCAATGGGGCCAATGGGGGTCATAGGGGCAATGGGGGTAATGGGGGAAGTGAGGGGGAATGGGGGTAATGAGACAATGGATGCAGTGGGGGAAGTGGGGGGTAATGGAGGCAATGGGGGGTAATGGGGGCAAAGGGGGTAATGGGGGCAATGAGGGGAATGGGGGAAATGGGGTGAAATGGGGGTAATGGGGGAAATGGGGGCAATGTGGGGAATGGGGGTAATGTGGGCAATGGGGGCAATGGGGGTAATGGGGGCAATGGGGACACCAATGGTGGGGTCAATGGGTACCACATCCATGGCTCTGGGTTGGGGTGGGCTGGGACCTGCTGGACACGCACCCCATCGCTGGCTGTCTCCTCATGGCGATGGGACCATCTTCACCCCAACCCCCCCCCCCAGATCCCACTCCACCCAATGCAGACACATCTGGATGAGGGTCCCCCCAGTAACATCTGGAACCCCCACCCCCACCCCCTTGTCCTTGGGTCAGGGCTGCCCAAGGCTGCGGTGATCACGGAGCGGAAGCTGCTGGCGGCGGCCAGCCTGGCCCGGCTCTGCGGCGTGCGCCCACAGGACGTGGTCTACACCCCACTGCCGCTCTACCACGCTGCCGGGCTCATGGTGGGACTCGGGGGGTGCATCGAGATCGGTACGTGCCCCACGGGGGGGTGGAGGGTGATGGATCAGCGATGGATGGTGATGGATCAATGATGGATGGTGATGGATCAATGATGGATTGATGACGGATGGTGTTGGATCAGTGATGGATCAATGATGGATCGATGATGGATGAATGGTGGATCAGTGATGGATGGTGATGGATCAATGATGGATGATGATGGATCAATGATGGATCGATGAACGGATGGTGCTGGATCAATGATGGATCAATGGTGGATCAGTGATGGATGGTGATGGATCGATGATGGATGGTGATGGATCAATGATGGATGGTGATGGATCGATGATGGATGGTGATGGATCGATGATGGATGGTGATGGATCGATGATGGATCGATGGTGGATCAATGATGGATGATGATGGATCAATGATTGCTCAATGATGGCTCAATGATGGATGATGATGGATCAATGATGGATCAATGACGGATGGTGTTGGATCAATGATGGATGGTGTTGGATCAATGATGGATCAGTGATGGATGATGGATCAATGATGGCTCAATAATGGTTCGATGATGGCTCAATGATGGATGGTGTTGGGTCAATGATGGATCAATGATGGATGATGATGGATCAATGATGGATGACAGATCCCTGACGGATGATGATGGATGATGATGAATCAATGACGGATGCTGATGATGAATCAATGATGGATGATGATGGATCAATGATGGATTAATGATGGATGATGATGGATCAATGATGGATTAATGATGGATGATGATGGATCAATGATGGATGATGATGGATGGATGATGAATCAATGACGGATGATGATGAATCAATGACTGATGATGATGGACAATGATGGATCAATGATGGATTAATGATGGATGATGATGGATCAATGACGGATGATGATGGATCAATGATGAATGATGATGGATCAATGATGGATGATGATGAATCAATGATGATGATGGATGAAGATGGATCGATGATGGATCAACGATGGATTAATGATGGATGATGATGAATCAGTGGTGGATCAATGATGGATGATGATAGATCAATGATGGATGATGATGAATCAATGACAGATGATGATGGACGATTATGGATCAATGATGGATTAATGATGGATCAATGGTGAGTCAATAATGGATCAATGACGGGTGATGGCCACCCCACACCCAGGTGCCACCTGCGTCCTCCGCTCCAAGTTCTCTGCCTCCCACTTCTGGGACGACTGCCGCCGCTACAACGTCACCGTCATCCAGTACGTGGGGGAGCTCCTGCGCTACCTCTGTCAGAGCCCTCAGGTGATGACCCCCCCCACACCCCACACCCCCCCCCCAACCCTTGGGGTGCTGCTCTCACCCCCCATCACCCCACAGCGCCCCAACGACCGCGACCACCGGGTGCGCTTGGCGTTGGGCAATGGGCTTCGAGGGGACGTGTGGAAGAGGTTCCTCGACCGCTTTGGCCCCATCTCCATCCGGGAGTTCTATGGGGCCACCGAGGGCAACGGCGGCTTCATCAACTACACTGGGAAGATTGGGGCTGTGGGGAGAGCCAACATGTTCATCAAGGTGAGGAAGCACGGTGGGCAATGGCTGGGTGGGGGGAAGAGGTTGGGGGGCTCCAGGTCACTGGTGTCTCCATGGAGAAGTCAATGGCATCTATAGGGCTGGGTTGGTAGCAAAGAGGACCTCCAGGGCTTCTTCCCCTTTGAAGATCCTAATGGAGCGTCCTCCATTGGTTGGCCAACGTTGACTCCTAGGTTGGCATTGGAGGGTCCATGATGGACATGGATGGCCCTCCACTGGTTGGGTCCTCTCCATTGGTTGGGTCCTCTCCATTGGTTGGCCAACATCGACTCAACGGGTGGCTCTGGAGGGTCCATGGTGGATGTGGGTGTCCCTTCCATTGGTTGGGTTTGTGGTGACGTGAACGTCCCCTCCATTGGATGGCCAGCATTGAATCCAAGGTTGGGTTTGGAGGGCCCATGATGGACATGGATGTCCCCTTATTGATTGGCCAACGTTGACCCAACAGCATTGACTCTGAGGCTGCTTTGGAGGGTCCACGGTCCACACAGACACCTCTATTGCTTGGGCAACGTTGACCCAATGGAAGGCTCTGGAGGGTCCATGGGGAACATGGGTGTCTCTTCCATTGGTTGGCCAACTTGGACTCCCAGGTTAGGATTGGGGGGTCCATGATGGACGTGGACGACCCCCCACTGGTTGGGGCCTCTCCATTGGTTGGCCAACATCGACTCAATGGATGGTTCTGGAGGGTTCATGATGGACATGGATGTCCCTTCCATTGGTTGGCCACCATTAACCCAACAGCATTGACTCCAAGGCTGCTTTGGAGGGTCCGTCGTCCTCATGGACATCTCCATTGGTTGGCCAACGTTGACCCAATGGAAGGTTCTGGGGGGTCCATGGTGAACATGGGTGTCCCATCCATTGGGTGGCCAACATTGACCCTACAGCATTGATTCCAAGGCTGCTTTGGAGGGTCCGTGGTCCATATGGACATCTCCATTGGGTGGCCAACATTGACCCTACAGCATTGATTCCAAGGCTGCTTTGGAGGGTCCATAGTCCACATGGACATCTCCATTGGTTGGCCAATGTTGACCCAATGGAAGGTTCTGAAGGGTCCATGGTGAACATGGGTGTCCCTTCCATTGGTTGGGCACCATTAACCCAACAGCATTGATTCCAAGGCTGCTTTGGAGGGTCTGTGGTCCATATGGACATCTCCATTGGGTGGCCAACATTGACCCTACAGCATTGATTCCAAGGCTGCTTTGGAGGGTCCATGGTCCACATGGACATCTCCATTGGTTGGCCAATGTTGACCCAATGGAAGGTTCTGGAGGGTCCATGGTGAACATGGGTGTCCCTTCCATTGGTTGGGCACCATTAACCCAACAGCATTGACTCCAAGGCTGCTTTGGAGGGTCTGTGGTCCTCATGGACATCTCCATTGGTTGGCCAACGTTGACCCAATGGAAGGTTCTGAAGGGTCCATGGTGAACATGGGTGTCCCTTCCATTGGTTGGCCAACATTGACCCTACAGCGTTGATTCCAAGGTTGCTTTGGAGGGTCCATAGGGACACGACCACCTCCAGCACCCCAAGAAGAGCCCTTTTGATGCCATTTCTCCATCTCCAGCCACCCAAATGTCCATCCAAACGAGGTCTTCTCCCCCTTCTTCCCCTTGGTTGTGTCCTACAAGGTCTTGGGCTTGAGATACCACCATGAGCAGGGTCAGTGGGTGGCTCCCTCTCATTGAAAGGGCGATGGAGGGAAGCTCTTGGCCTTCATTCAGCCCATAAGGGGTGGCTTCCTCTTCCATCATCACCTCTTGGTCCTTCTTCTGTCCCCCCCCTCCCCAGTACTTTGCCCCCTTTGAGCTCATCAAGTACAACGTGGACAAGGAGGAACCGGTGCGAGACGAACGAGGCCTCTGCATCCCGGTGGGCCCCGGTACGATGGGATTGGACCTTGGGAGGTGGGAAGGGGACGGAGACGCAGCAAAACCACCCCTGAGGCCTTGGCATCAGCATCTCAGGGGGTGGAGGTGAAGCCACCAGAGAGACAGGAAGCAGTGGTGGGAGCAGCTTCGGAGCCTCTTTGTCCTCCCCATAGGTGAGACGGGGCTGCTGGTCACCAAGATCACCAAGGAGGCCCCATTCCATGGCTACGCCGGAGATCCCGTGGAGACGGAGCAGAAGATCCTAAGGAACGTCCTGGTCCACGGTGACGCCTTCTTCAACAGCGGCGACCTCCTCATGATGGACCACGAGAAGTTCCTCTACTTCCAGGACCGCGTCGGAGACACCTTCAGGTACCTCGGGTGGAGCCGGCCTGCCCAAAGGCGCACCCATGGGACCCCCTCCCACCTTCACCCTCTTCTTCTCCATAGGTGGAAAGGGGAGAACGTGGCCACCACAGAGGTGGAGGCCGCTCTTGCCATGGTGGACTTCATCCAGCAAGTCAACGTCTATGGGGTGTCCGTCCCAGGTGAGCTCCTGGTGGGGCTGAGGTGACCCAATGGGAGGCTCTGGGAGGGGCTCAACCACTTGAGGTGGCACCAAATGATCTCAAGGGGTCATTGAGAAGCTTGAAGGACCTCAAGGTGGACCCACAATGGCCACAGAAGGGGTTGGGGTGGATGGAAACCTTCGTGGTCTTCTATTGCCACCCACTTCGAGACGCTGCTTGACCACTTCATGTGGCAGAGGCTCAAAGTGGAGGCGCTTTGGACCCACCAAAAGAAGAGTCGACCAAGAGCAGGCTGACTGGGGCACGTAGCATGTCCGTACAATGGCCCAATTGACCCCAAAATGGCCAAAATAGGACTTTATGACCCCAAATCGGCTTCCACCATACAGTGGGCTCCTCCATCATGGCCCAAGTGGCCTCCAAGAAGGCTGAATGAGGACTTGGGTTGCCCAAATCAAGGCTTCATTGTTATGGGCATGGACATCACCCCTACGATGGTCAATGGAGCCCCTAGGAGAAGTCAAGGCTGGGGGGGTTTGGTGGCCCCATGTTGATGTTTTGGGCATGAAGGGCCTCCAAGAAAGATGAAACCCACCCAAAACGGGTGTTTTGGGCACCCAAGTGGGCACCAGGGTAGTCAATGGGGGGGGTGGTGGTGCTGGAGGTGACCATGGGGTGTCCATAGGGTGCGAGGGGAGATGTGGCATGGCCGCCATGTGCCTCAAGCCGGGGCACAGCTTCGATGGGCAGAAGCTCTACAGCTTCGTGGAGGATGTGCTGCCCGGCTACGCGGCGCCGCAGTTCCTGAGGGTGCAGGTCAGTGACTGCTTGTGCATCCCCATCCATATCCATCCATCCATCCATTCATCATCCATCCATTCATCATCATCCATCCACCATCCATCATCCACCATCCATCACCCATCCACCATCATCCATCCACCATCATCATCCATCCATCCACCATCCATCCATTCATCATCCATGCACCATTATCATCCATCCACCATCCACCCATCACCCACCCATTCATTCATCATCCATCCATCATCACCCATCCACCATCCATCCATCCACCATCCATCCATTCATCATCCATCATCCACCATCCATCACTCATCCATCATCTACTACCCATCCATCATCCATCCACCATCATCCATCCACCATCCATCCACCATCCACTACCCATCCATAATCCATCCATCATCATCCATCCACCATCCATCACCCATCCATCATCACCCATCCATCATCTACTACCCATCCATCATCCACATCCATCCATTCATCATCCACTACCCATCCATCACCACCAATCATCATCCATCCATCATCCATAATCACCCATCCATCATCACCAATCATCACCCATCCATATCCATCCGTCCATATCCATCCATCACCCATCATCACCCATCCGTATCCATGGCCATCATTCATCCATCATCTATCCATGCACCCATCATCCATAGCCATCCATCCCAACACAGACATCATCCACCCAGCCATCATCATCCATGCATCCATCATCACCCATGCATCCATCACCAACCAACCATCATCATCATCCATCCATCCATCCATCCATCATTATCCATCTCCATCCATCATCATCCATCAATCCATGCCCAACATGGCCGTCATCCATCCATGCAACCATCTCCAACATGGCCATCATCCATCCATCTACCCATCCATCTTCAACATGGCCATCCATCATCCATCCCAACATGCCCATCATCCATCCACCCATCCATCTCCAACATGGCCATCCATCACCCATCCATCCATCCATCCATCTCCAACATGGACGTCATCCATCCATTCAACCATCTCCAACATGACCATCCATCATCCATCCCAACACGGCCATCATCCATCCACCTATCCATCTCCAACATGACCATCCATCATCCATCCCAAGACGGCCATCCATCATCCATCCACCCATCTCCAACATGGCCATCATCCATCCACCCACCATCTCCAACACGGCCATCCATCATCCATCCACCTCCAACATGACCATCATCAATCCATCCCAACAAGGTCATCCATCATCCATCCACCCATCCACCTCCAACATGACCATCATCCATCCATCCCAACATGGCCATCCATCATCCATCCATCCACCCACCATCTCCAACATGACCATCATCCATCCATCCCAACATGGCCATCCATCATCCATCCATCCACCCACCATCTCCAACATGGCCATCCATCATCCATCCACCCATCCACCTCCAACATGACCATCATCCATCCATCCCAACATTGCCATCCATCATCCATCCATCCACCCACCATCTCCAACATGGCCATCCATCATCCATCCATCCATCCCAACATAGCCATCATCCATTCACCCATCCATCTCCAACATGGCCATCATCCATTCATCCACCCATCTCCAACATGGCCATCATCCATCCACCCACCATCTCCATCCCTCCCCGTATCCCTGTTCCTCCCCAGAACGCTCTGGAGATCACGGCCACCTTCAAGCAGCGCAAGAGCCACTTGGTCACCGAAGGCTTCGATCCCCGCGTCATCCGGGACCCGCTGTTCTTCCGCCACAAGCAGGCCAAGGCCTACGTGCCCCTGACCCCCGAGCTCCATGCCCGCATCCTGGACACGGCCCTGGCCCTCTAAGAGCCACCCCATTCCCTTCGGGAATTCCCTCGGGAGCCCCCTTCTCCTGACCCCCCTCTTCCCTTCGCCTTCCCCTGCGCTGGAATCAACCCCCAAGCCCTCCGTGTCCAACACGACGCTCAACCAACATCCCCCCAAGGCAGCATCATCGCCTCCCTCTTTCCCACCACGCTCCGGTTGCGGGAATGATGCCGGGAACACCACCCCATATCCCAAACGCACCCATGCCTTTTTATTCACACCCCCCCACACACAGCCAAGGGGGAGGCGGCCCCATCACTGCCCCCCATCCCCATCCTCCCGCTTCACCGCCGCTTCCCTGGCATCCCAACGGCGCTCCCGTTGGAGCTCGCCGACGCGGAGCCGGAGCCGTTGCTCCCTCCTTTTGCAGGCCTGGAGCTGCCGTTGGGCTTTCCCCAGCGCCTCCAGGGCCGCCTCGGCGCGGCGCTTCCAGAGCAAAGCGTTGCCCACCTGGTAGCTGTGCTCGCTCTGGATGTAGGCCCCGAGGCGCGGGGGCAAGCGGAGCACGTAGAGGGATGGGGATGGAGGCACGGGGCCGGAGCCCGGAGCCTCCGGGGGGGGTTTGGGGTTGGGACCCCGCGCTTCCGAGGAGCCGGGAAGAGCCGCGACGGCGCCGTGGTCGCCGGCCGGAGCCGAGCCCTCGGGCTCCCCCGGGAAGCAGGAGATGGGCAAAGGGAAAGGGGGGGACGGGGGGGGGGTGGGAAGAGGAGGTGGGGTCAGGGTGGGATGAGGCTGGGGTCAGGTGGGAGGAAGAGGGATCCAGTTGGGATGAGATCAGTTGGGATGAGGGTGGGGTCGGATGGGAGGAAGAGGGATCCAGTTGGGATGAGGATGGGTTCAGGTGGGAGGAAGAGGGATCCAGTTGGGATGAGGATGGGTTCAGGTGGGAGGAAGAGGGATCCAGTTGGGAAGGGTTCAGTTGGGATGAGGATGGGGTCAGTTGGGAAGAGGGGTTTCGATGCGAAGAAGAGGGGTTTTGATGGGAAGAGGGATCCAGTTGGGATGAGGATGGGTTTAGGTTGGAAGAAGAAGGGTCCAGTTGGGAAGGGTTCAGTTGGGATGAGGATGGGGTCAGTTGGGAAGAGGGGTTTCGATGCGAAGAAGAGGGGTTTTGATGGGAAGAGGGATCCAGTTGGGATGAGGATGGGTTCAGGTGGGAAGAAGGAGGGTCCAGTTGGGAAGGGTTCAGTTGGGATGAGGATGGGGTCAGTTGGGAAGAGGGGTTCAGATGGGTTGAAGATGAGTCCAGATGGGAAGAGGGATCCAATTGAGAAGAGGATGGGTCCAGTTGGGAACAAGAAGAAGAAGGCTCCAGTTGGGAAGAAGGCTCCAGTTGGGAAGGATTCAACTGGGAAAAGGATGAGTCCAATTGGGAAGAAGAATCCAGTTGGGAAGAAGAAGGCTCCACTTGACAGGAAGGATCCAATTGGGAAGAACCTGGCTCCAAATGGGAAGAAGGCGGTTCCAATCGGGACACAGAGGGATCCAATTGGGAAGCAGAGGGATCCAATCGGGACGCAGAGAGATCCAATTGGGAAGCCGAGGGATCCAATCGGGACGCGGAGAGATCCAATTGGGAAGCAGACGGCTCCAATTTGGGAGCAGAGGGATCCAATGGGGACGCAGAGGGATCCAATGGGGATGCAGAGGGCTCCAATGGGGACGCAGAGGGATCCAATGGGGACGCAGAGGGATCCAAAGGGGACGCAGAGGGATCCAATGGGGACGCAGAGGGATCCAATGGGGATGCAGAGGGATCCAATCGGGACGCAGAGGGATCCAAAGGGGACGCAGAGGGATCCAATGGGGACGCAGAGGGATCCAAAGGGGACGCAGAGGGATCCAATGGGGACGCAGAGGGCTCCAATCGGGACGCAGAGGGATCCAATCGGGACAACCTGGCTTCAAGCCTGGGTAGGACCAAGAGCACCCATCAAGGCTGAGGAGCACCCAAGCCAAGGTTCCCCCCCAGCCCTGCCCCATAGCACTCACCTCCACCTCCGGGTGCCCTTGAGAGGCTTCAGGGGGTCAGCAGCCGGGGGGGGCTTCAGCCGGTGGGGCCGGGGGGTCACCAGGTTGAAGAGGGTGGGGACGGCGCCTTCCTTCAGGCGGTGGTAACCACTGGGGGGGCACAAAGAAGGGGGTCCATGAGGGGGGTCCATGTCCATGGGGTCTATGGGGGGTCCATGGGGTCTATGGGGGTGTCCACCGGGTCTAAGGGGGATGTTCATGGGGTCTATGGAGGATCCAAGGGGTCTACAGGGGTGTCCATGGGGTCTATGGGGGTCCATGGGGTCTACGGAGTGTCCATGGGGTCTAATGGGAGTGTCCATGGGGTCTAATGGGAGTGTCCATGGGGTCTATGGGGGTGTCCACGGGGTCTATGGGGGTCTATGGGGTCTACGGGGGTGTCCATGCGGTCTAATGAGGATGTTCATGGGGTCTACGGGGATGTCCATGGGGTCTATGGGATGTCCATGGGGTCTATGGAGTGTCCATGGGGTCTATGGGATGTCCATGGGGTCTATGGAGGATCCATGGGGTCTATGCGGGTGTCCATGGGGTCTATGGGGTGTCCATGGGGTCTATGGGGTGTCCATGGGGTCTATGGAGGATCCATGGGGTCTATGGGGGTGTCTACGGGGTCTATGGGGTGTCCATGGGGTCTACGGGGGTGTCCATGGGGTCTAATGAGGATGTTCATGGGGTCTACGGGGATGACTATGGGGTCTATGGGGGTGTCCATGGGGTCTATGGGATGTCCATGGGGTCTATGGAGTGTCCATGGGGTCTATGGGATGTCCATGGGGTCTATGGAGGATCCATTGGGTCTATGCGGGTGTCCATGGGGTCTATGGGGGTCTCCATGGGGTCTATGGGGTGTCCATGGGGTATATGGGGGTGTCCATGGGGTCTATGGGGTCTCCATGGGGTCTATGGAGGCGAAAAAGGGGGGTCTAATGGGGGTTTGCATGGGCTTTATGGGATGTCCACTGGGTCTACGGGGGTGTCCATGGGGTCTACGGGGGTGTCCATGGGGTCTATGGGATGTCCAATGTCCAT